CATTCACCTCGGAACTCCTCGGCCCCGCGCCGGCCCGGCTAGGGGCTGCCCGGAGCGGAGTCGGCGGTGAGCGAGAAGACGGCGAGCGCTCCCAGGTGAGCAGCTGCTCCACGCTGGCCCTCAGCCGGGGCGGGGAGACGGGGAGGAGAGGCGGCGCGAGACCGCGGGTGGGGCTGCGGGCGGGCGCGGGGCTGGGCCGAGCCGAACCGAGCCGAACCGAGCCGAGGCCGCGAGACGCCGGGCGGCGGCGGGACGACGCGGCCTGCTCCTCGGGGCGGGGCTTCCCGGGAGGGGAGGGGCTTCCCCGGAGGGGCGGGGCTAAGGGCGTGGTTCGCGGCTGGAATTCCCGGGCGTGAGCGCTGCATGGTTTTCCTTCTGAAGTGTCATTCGTGCTTCCCATTGAGCTGACCTGATATTGCCTACCAAAATCCAGATTACTTAGTGTGTTGGCCATGATTCACTATCACTCATTTCTTAATCTCACACTAGCCTCCAATAGTTGCCACGGATCCCTGGCCTGTAGGTTAATGAAATACGTGGAGTTAAAGTTGGCCGCTCCTGCTGTACTTGTTCTGTTTGCAGTCAGGTACCAGTTTGGTATTTGTAATCTCCCCATCCAGTTAAAATTAACCCTTCGCTCTGTCGGGCCCTGTACATATTGTTACCTCAGGTAGAGCAGTTTCATTGATTGGTCTTAGGTTCCTTGTGCCTTGCAGTTTCGTGCATGGTAGATATTAAAACGGGACACTGACTTGGGCTTGTGCGTGTGTGCTTTGTGATGTGATTAGATATATGAACACAGGAGGGGTGGGCCCTTTTTATCTACAAATATAACTTTTACAGAGAAGGTTGTCTGAGGAATGAGATAGGTGAAATATGGTGTGTGTTGTATTTATTGACAATCCTTTTTTTTTTTTGAAAGACTTAATGTTCCTTTCTGTAGTTTGTCTAGTTTTTTATACCTTTAACAACTGTTTTTGCTGAAGCTTGTTAATTTTCCTAGATTAGAAACAGAAAGTAGAAAACCAATTCACCTCCAAATACATCATTAATGAATCATTAGAGCCATCAGTATGCTTGATTGTATTGTGTCTATGGAACAAAATACACATGAATGTATGTGTGTGATTAGAGAGAAGAAAGTGGTATGCTCTCCCGCACGAGTAAAAGCTAGAACCAGGCCCTTGCAAAGAACTCCACTGGAGTGACTTCACTGAAACACACATTTGAGAGCAAAATGGAATGTAGTCAAAGAAAAACTTGGGACTTTTTACATATATTACACGAATTGTATGAAGAGAAAGATTAGGGAAGAACACGAGGAGCATATTTTGGATCTCGATAATCAGTAGCATCTAATTCTTTAAATTGAATTTAACTTCAGTCATTTTTAAAGTACACATTATGTCACTGTAACAGATAATTCAGATCTAATTTTAAGGTTTGAATTCAGATTATAATGTGATTATAGCGTGACCCAAAGGCAATGTGATTTATAACTAAAAAATTCTGTGCAGTCTTGACTATCAAAGGTGTAATTCCTTCCTTTCTTGTTCCCATTGACTAGATTCAGAATGAATAGTGAGCAGGTGGCACTGGTGGGCCAAGTGTTCGAGTCCTATGTTTCGGAGTACCATAAGAGTGACCTTGTCCTCATCTTGAAGGAAGCTGATGAGGATGGCCACTACCCAGTGGTGGTGAATGCCATGACACTTTTTGAGACCAACATGGAAGTTGGGGAGTATTTCACTGCGTTCCCCAAAGAAGTACTGACTGTGTTTGATAGTGCCCTGCAAAGGTCAGCCATGACAGTTTTCCAGTCCCTTTCTCATCAGGAGGGTGTATCCATGAAGCACAATCTTCATGCCAGGATATCAGGTGAGTCACATAAGCATGCTATCATGGAATTAGTGCTATGGAATTTTCTGTGACGATCTGAAGGAAATAGAGTGCAAGTGAGATTCAGAATACCCAGAAATGACTGATCTTTATATTAAAAATTCGTGTCTATTGTACCAGATAGTCACTTCTAGCTTGGAGTACTGATTAACTCTTCTGGGCATCAGGTGCTGGCCATGCAAAGGAAGGTGGGAGAAGGTGCAGAACCAGCCCTACACCCTGGCCTCTGTGTATGAAACTGTATCCCAGTGCAGCTCTGTGAGCTCCTGGGACTCGCTGAAAGAAGCGGTGATACAAGAGTCAGAAAAGTGCTAGACCTGAATCCACTTGAGGCAGTTAATCAATTTTATGTGTCAAGATTGTTTTAATGTGCATTGCTTTTACGCTGAATTGATTCTAGAGCTACAAGGTTTTGTTTCTCCTGGAATACGTTTTTTTCTCCTGCAGCCTCCTCTGGTTGGGAACAGATTGTTGGTTTTTGGTAGGGTACTTTCAGTGTAGCTGGGGAGCTTAGGCACAGGTTAATCTGACCTTCAGTGCTGTAAGCACGACCTCTTTAGGGTGCGCCCTTCCTGAGTATGTCCAGTGACTAGAGAGATCATTCTGGAACATTCTGTTTCAGATAGTTTCCATTTTATAAAAAGAAAAAGGCCCTCTCTCCCCTCTGTTCCCTTCCTCCTCCGCCTGCTTTCCTCTGCATAACCAGTGTGGCAGAGTGCGGCGCGTTTCTCCCTCGGCTGCCCTCATCTTTTCTGTGCCACCCATAACACAGCCCTCAGCGGTTTCTGTGGTAACCTGCAGGATGTGCAGAGGGTACTTGCTAGTGTTTCTGTCTTCCACAGTTACTCTGTAGACTTAGGTCCCCTGACTGCTCTGGGTTTGTGGATTCCAGCCTCAGGCCCCTGCTCACTCTCCCACCTTCCTCACCTTCTGGCTGCAGCTTCTCCACCTCTGTTTTAGACACCTTTCCCTTTAACTGTGTTTGCCCATGGTCCTTAGGGTTCTGACTTGGCTATCTCTTAGGTCCTGCCTCCTCTTCCCGATTTACACCAAGTAGCTTTATTATTATTATTATTATTATTAATAGGGCCAGGCAAATAGCTCAGCAGGAGCTGGGGGTTCAGTCCTTGGGCCTGCCATGCCAGCTCCACCCCTGGAGCACACTGAGACTTGAGACTGGGTGTGGTAGCGCACCCGTAATCCCAGCTCTTGTGAGGCTGTAAAAAGACGGATCACTACACGTCTGATCCATTAGCGAGACTCTGAACACCCTGTAGATCCTTCCCTAAAGTACAAAAAAAATTATTATTTTGGCTGGAGCTTGTCTCTTAATCTTTTACCTGGATATCTTTTTGTTAGATGTCTGTGACAATTATGTAAGATTTCACTGATTACATATGACTTTACCTCATTGAAAGTCCCAGGACTGCACTAAGCTGTACTGGGGAGTCCCATTTTACTGGACATTCTGCCCTTATGTATGACATTAGTATGACATGCAACACTTTCCAACACTTAAGGTGTCATGACCTCAATTTTTATTAAGTTTTAACATATTGACAGTATGGTTTAAGCTTAATGGTCATGTTCCATGTGAAACAGCACTGGAAGTAAAAGTGGGAATGGAGGGGCTGGCGAGATGGCTCAGTGGTCTAAAGCACCTACATGGAACAAGCTTGGCAAAGCACAGGGACCACGGTTTGATCCCCCAGCACCACATGCCAGCCAGCCCCGCCCCCTGGAGGGCTGAGCTGGCCACACACACACAATAAATAAATAAATGTTAAAAAAAAAAAAAAAAAAGTGGGAATGGAAAGTGGAGTGCAAAAATGGTATTTCTTTAGGCCAGTAGATATTCTTTAAATCCAAAAAAAGTGTTATTTAAATAAAGTGGCATAACCCATCTTTTCTCTTTTCCTATTTAGCTTCCTTGTTGTTCTTAGAAATAATTGTTAGTAGATTTCTGTTTGTACTTCAAAACACACATTAGGTTAATAATCCTGTTTCGCACCTAAGTAGCTACTTGTATATGTACATTAGAGAACAATTAAGAACTTTAAAAGTATTTTAAGTTATTTTAATGACCATATAATCTAGTAAATCAGCTCTTAGGTTTATGCCCAAGATAACTGGAAATGAATACTCAAACAAAAATTTGCATGAAAATGTTTGCAGTAGCATTATTTATAGTAGTCCCCAAATGAAAACAACCCAAATCATCTCTCAGTGGATGAACAGATAATATATGGTCTATACATACCATGGAATGTTTATAGCCATATATAGGAATGAAGTAGTGATATTGCTTAGTGAAAGAGACCAGACCTAAAAGACCACACACTGTATGGTTTCGTTTATATGAAATAGCCAGAATGGGTGAGTCCATAGAGTCAGAAATGAGAGTAGTCATTGCCAGCAGCTAGGGGGAGGGAGGGAAAGGGGGATCACTGCTACTAGGTTCAGATTGTATTTTTGATCTTTTAATGAAGTATTACCCTTGGAAGACAGGTAAGTCAGCCTTGGGAGCGCAGGAAAAAGAGCCCCAGGGGGAGGTGTGGCTGTGCCCACCTCGCTGACTCTCGCCATGTAGTGTGTGAAGAGTGTCTTGCACACAGAGCATTAAACTCTGATCCCTGTGACCTGTAACCAGGTCACCAGGTCACCTCAGGTTAATAGTTCCCTTGTTTGCTTTCTTACTCCCAGGCTTCCTAGAGCACCTTGCTATTAATGGGATCACTAGGCTTTCAGAGTGGATGTGTTAATGGGGAGAAATCATCTGGCTCTAGAAACTTAACAGTGGGGGGGGGGGCCCTACCATCGTGGTGTCCTGGCTTCTGAGCCCAGAGGGTCTAGCAGACAGGGCTCTGTGTGCCCACTGAGTCGGTGGACCTTGCGCGCTGGACCTGTGGAGCAGCTTTCCTGCCAAAGCACTGCAGAGGCTGCTGTGGCCATCACAGCCAGGTCCTCTAGTGCATCCCATTCAGATGAGGAACAGGGAATTTCCGTAGAAATAAGACTTGGCTTCGGCCCTTTTACTTTCTCCCTTGCCTGTTTTCTTGATGTTGAAAGTCACAGGTTTCAAGGCTGACATGATGTTATGGGTGAATTTCCAGGAAGTGAACTGTGAGCCCACCTGAGTAAAGCAGTCACCTAGCAGGGGGAGACTGCGCTCTCATCATTGCCATCTCTTTACCACTCTGCTTAGCTGTTTGCTCAGAAGGCATCAGGCAGTTTTCCAGGTAGCAAGCAGCAGCACTTTCTGTGTTAAATGGGTTCACAGTTACGAACCATATTTAGGTCCTACAGTGCTCTCTCTCTCTGACAAGAATCAATTTTTTTCTTTAATCTTGGCTATAATAGATACCTGCTTTTTAAACAAGCCTATTGATAACTCCTATTTAAAATATCTTTTGTTTCCTAAGTTCATAATCAGATATTTCCCTTAAGGTAAGATAGAAGGATTTGAAGACTGTGTTCCATGCAGGTAGGTCTTATGGTGTAAGTGGGTGCTCTTGTTTTTCCATCAGGTTTGCCGGTCTGTCCGGAGCTGGTGAGGGAGCACATCCCTAAGACCAAGGACGTGGGACACTTTTTATCTGTCACTGGAACAGTGATTCGAACAAGTCTGGTGAAAGTCCTGGAGTGTGAACGGGATTACATGTGCAACAAGTGCAAACACACATTCGTAGTCAAGGCTGATTTTGAGCAGTATTACCTCTTCTGCCGGCCATCCTCGTGTCCCAGCCTGGAGAGGTGTGATTCCTCGAAATTCACTTGCCTTTCAGATTTGTCTTCAAATCCAGCCAGGTGTAGAGATTACCAAGAAATCAAAATTCAAGAACAGGTAAATGATGAAATAAGTGAGAAAAAGAACAAATTTGAAGTGGTTTTCTCTCAGATTGCAAAGATTAAGGAATATCAGATGAATACAGATGACTTTGTGCCTTCACTTAGATCAGTCTTGAAACTGCTGCTTTTATATCAGAATATAGTTTTTAGTTATAATCATGTTTGAGTACCAACAAGAAGGCTATGAGATGCCTTAGTATGTTAAAACTTAAGTGAGTATTTAAGAATTCTAACCTAGCTCTAGTGTAAGTAAGGGATAGAATGTTTAATTGTTAAGCCCAAGGTTTAAGCCAGAGTTAAAACACTGGGCTAAGTAGGATTTAAGTTTTGCTATGCCAGTGAAGTGTACCAAATGTGCCAAATGCAGTGTATTTAACCCTGTAAAGAGTAGCTCTTGGGAAGCCCAGGCAGGAGGATCACAGCGTGTGTTCAAGGCCAGCCTGGGCTACATGGCGAGACCCTGTCTTAGAAAACAAAAACAGAAGTTACAGTGAGTCTCTTTATCCTTTTCAAAAGCTTTGTTCTGTCATCTAAAATAATAATAGGAGGTGTTATGATGGTTTGTGTCCAGCTGTCCCCCCAAAGCCTCACGCAGTCATGGGGCACCTTCTAGAGTTTGTGATCAATTCATGATCCAGTGCTGGGATTATGGGTGGGAGTGCTGCACCCACCCTGGAGCAGACAGTCTGCCTTATAGGGTAAGGAGGGGAAAGAGGCTCACCAGCAGCCTCAGCTGCGACCCCTCCCTTTGCTCCTTGCTGTTTTCCCCCACCATGAATGGCTGAAACCTCTGCTAACTATGAGCTAAATAAACCTTTCCTTCCTTCATTCTGGGTGTCTGGTGTTTGTCCCAGCAATGAGAGAAAAGTAGCTAGGACAGGAAGTAAGCAGCAAAAAGCTAAGACATAGTCACAGAGTCAAGGGCTCAAACCTGGCTTAATTCATGGTTTCTGTAAGTGTGGTTTCAGTGGTCCAGAGTAGTGGCTATAACTGTGACTTGTGTCCTAGTGAAAGAACAGAAGGAAGATGGCTGTGTACCCTGGGCCTCCCAAGTCTCCATGTAAACCTTGTCCGCAGCAGTCCTCTGGCACATGCCTGCTTGGGTTTCATGGGCTAGAACTTTTTCATGTGACCATGTGGGGGTACAAATGAGCATCTGCAATGCCCATACCCACCCCATAGCATGTCTTTAAGCATATTTAGTATCTGTTTTCTTTTTCTTGCTAGGTTCAAAAGCTATCTGTTGGAAGTATTCCTCGATCTATGAAGGTCATCCTAGAAGACGACTTAGTAGACAGTTGCAAGTCTGGTAAGGATGAACCTTGTTTTCAGAGATGGAGATCTTCCTGAGTTGTGCAGACTGGTTTCGAACCCATGGGTGCATGTGATCCTCTTGTCTCAGCCTCTTGAGCAACTGAGGCCACAGGTGGGAACACCACCACACCCAGCAAGCATGCACTTGCCTTAGCTTATGTAGAGGTCTGATTAGGATTAGGAGATGCTACTTGGAATTTTCCCAGAGACCTCTGGCAGGGGGCTGTAGAGTGCAGCTGCTCCCCTTGCAGACGGAGCCTGGTGTCCAGTAGCAGATGACGAGAGGAAGCTGTGGGCTGCAGCTGAGGTCCACTCTAGCCATGTTTACAGACGAAATGCTTCTGGCCCAGGACACCTCCAGTCAGGTGGTGGGGCTGGAACAGGAGTCCACAGACACAGCTTGGCTTCCAGGTTTCTTGGCGCGGCTGTGCAGCATAATAGAAGTGACTAGTGTGCAGTGGACAGTCACTGGTGTTGGCAGCACACGCTCTGTCAGGTGCTCTTGAGCCTCACTGCCCGGAGGAAAGGAGGTGACTGTCCCCCATCTGCTCTGGGCTGGGGCGTGGCGGTGCTGGACACTCCCACACAGCTCTTCCAAACTGAACGGTTCTGCATGAAAGAGAAATCTGAGCTGTTTTCTTTTTTTCTTTCAAAATGTATTAATAATAAAGAATGGATCAATTGATGACAGGAAGTAGTTGATGACAGCAGTTTTCATTTACCCATAGCTCTGTGGGAGTCAAAAAATAAGAACAGCACAATTCTTGCCCTTCAGGAAGTTGCAGCCTAGGTAGGAACCCCAGCTTGAAATACACGGAGTCTTGAAATTAGAGTCCGTGTGATGACTGTCTGTAGCAGGAAGGTGGACGTAGGAGCAAGTGGATTGGCTGCAGTTGGAAAGCTCCTGTGACAGACAGAGACCCAGGAGGAGACTGGCTTGCTTAGCAGTAAGAACGGTAGCTCCCTGGACAGAAGAGAATACTTTAATGCAGACTTTTAAAATGGACAGCTGCTGCCTTGGTCAGCCCAGGTGCCTCACAATAAAGGTCCTATTAGCCTGGCATTGCAGAAGCATTTGAGTAAATGAAGACCTTCACTGTTCAGAGGCGCATTGTCACTACAGAAGTAGGTGGGACGGGTGCAGACGTACACCTGCTGCTTCCTGAGGGCCTCTCTGTCCTTGATGTTGCAGCCAGCAGCTCACATGCTTTGTGCTGGTTCTCTTGTCCTGTGATGTAAGTCCTCTCATTCTGTAGGTCAAGAAACAGGTTCAGGGACATAAACAACTTGTCCATCACACGTAGCCAGTGAAGGGTGGAGGTGGGGCTAGCCTGGCTCTGTGGAGTCCCTGTCGTGCCGTAGTCTACACTGTACACATAATCATTGCTCAGTGAGCTCAGATTATTACTAAAGGGCCTAGGCTTGGAGTTAAGCCCCTACTTGCCAGTGTAGCTACGTCGTAAATATAATCCATGGAAGTGACGGCAGCAGAAAGCTCTTGGAGCCGCATCACACACTTTGTTAGCGTGTCTGTCGCCATTGGTGTGAAGCAGCCTTTAGCTAGAAGCGTGGATCCAGCATGGTGTCTGCTCTGGAGATGGACATCACGCGTCGACATTTAGCGAGAAAGGCATTTGCTCCCGCAAGCAGCATCAGCTGGCACGGAGGTATGGGTGTGAGTGCTGGGACTGTGTTTCTTATGTAAAACATAAAGGCCAGGATTGGGTTCAGGGCTCCTCAGACATCTTCCATTTGGTGTGATTGAAACTTGACTAGGTAGCTCTGTTTGGGGCCCCTTTCTCTAGTACCACCATCATGAATGCCAAGCATTCACAGATGATTGTTCATCAATGCCTTGCACAGAGTGTGAAAGTAAGTGTAGAAGCCAGTGCTCAGTGAAGCCTGGAAACAACCCGGAGCCCTTGGGACATGTGTTAGGGTGCAGCGTCCTGCCAGTCCAGAACAGGAGACTCTCCTCATGGGAGCGAGGGAGCCCCAGGAAGGAGCTTGCTGGGGTGCTGTCTTGTGTGTTCATGCTTTGAAGTAGGACAGGTATTCACTGATTTCTTAGTTCATTCCTTCCTTGCTTCCTTAGTTCATTTAAAAAGTCAATAAGTAAAGTGTTGATTAACAAACGTGGAAAATGAAAATGAACATGGAAGAGACCAAGTGGGGGGCCTGGGCATCGCCGTCTCAGGATTGTCTTGCAGGGATCCCGGGCTGATTTGCTTTCACCTTCTGGCCGCAGTTTCCACACCTTTTTAGAAAAAAGGAGAACTAGACAGACACTCTGAAGTCAGCAAAAACTAAATCACATAGGAAACTTTTCCCAGTGAAGGTAGTCCTGTAATGTGGTGTGATCATTATTTGGCATATTATGAAAGCTAAAAATGCTCTCCTCACCCGTGGCTGTGCAGGTTCGCGTGCCTGTGGAGCAGTGGTGGGTCTTGCGCTGCTCTTCGACCCCCAGGTTGTTCTTGGGTGGTGAGTACACACCCTAGCCATGGTAGAGAGTGGTTTGTCTCTAATTTCTGCCGGCACGTGGGACGCCCTGTGGACCCCGTGCGCTCTCTTCCAGGGGATGACCTCACCATCTATGGGGTTGTGATGCAGCGCTGGAAGCCCTTGCAGCAAGATGTGCGCTGTGAAGTGGAGATAGTCCTAAAAGCCAACTACGTGCAGATAAATAATGAGCAGTCCTCTAGGATCGTCATGGATGAGGAAGTCCGAAAGGAGTTTGAGGAGTTTTGGGAGTGCTACAGAGGTGATCCCTTTGCAGGTTTGTGGACTTCATGACGGCATGACACTCAGCGCTTACTTTCTGTGTTTGGGGGTAGCTGCTCATGCTGCGGGAGTCAGGCTGCGTCCAGACCAGCGCCTTAGTGAGTGCCTCCAGCTGTGGTCTCCATCTGAAGCCCTTTGCTGGCTTGTTTTTTCTATTTGGAGATCTTCCTAGAGATTTTTCCTTTTCAACTGTTATTTAAACACTTGCTGTGCTCCCAAAAGTTTTTGAGTGTCCTATCTTTTTTTTTTTTTTTTTTTTTTGGCAGAACCGGGGATTGAACTGAGTGTCCTATCTTTTCTACCAAATAAAAAACACAGTTCTGCAAAAAGACAGAGCTCATCTTGTTGTATTGCATTAAAACCATTATCTGCTAGTGTGTTTTTGGTAAGAAAGGCAGCATTCCACTGTGCTCACTAAGGATTTTAAAAGAGGCAGTAGGCAGAAGGAGGCGAGGACGGAGAGGAGATGCTGAGGACAAGCTCTCCGCCAAGACGTGATTACACAGCACAGAAGAGCACCGCCTCTACTTGTGTGGAGTGTGCTATTGTTGAAAAGCCCTAAATGTATAAAACGGAAGTTAAGGCTCTTGCTCAGTGAGCTCAGATTATTACTAAAGGGCCTAGAGCTGGAGTTCAGCTTCTACTTGCCAGTGTAGCCACATCATAAATATAATCCATGGAAGTGACGACAGCAGAAAGCTCTTGGAGCCCTGTCACATGCTTTGTTAGTGTGTCTGTCACTGTTGGTGTGAAGCAGCCTTTAGCTAGAAACCTGTATTCAGTATCGTGTCTGCTCTGCAGATGGACATCACACGCAGGCATCTGAGAAAAGTATACTGAAGCCACTCATAGACTTTGAAATAACGTTTTCCTCAAGTCTGTGTTGACTATTTTATTCTTAAATCACATGCTGAACTACGTAGATGCTATTTCATAAAATAAAGTTTCAACTTGTCTATATTTTGGAAGTTTGCTTTTATTTTATGAAAATTTTAAAACTGTTATGTGTAAGACATATACAGTAGTTCCTGACCTTTTATGTGATCTAGGGTAAGCCTTTTAATAGGTAGAAGGAAGGGGGAAGTACATTAGCCTTGTGAAAATATAAGTAGGAACACAGTGAAAAAATGATGCAGCGCTTTTCTTTTGTATCTGAGCAAACTTTCCTTTCTTCGTTCCCTGTATACCAGGTACCAGGGCCTACATCTGACTACTTTAAAGTGTGCGTGTTAGGGGGAATCTGTGTGCGTGGGGGTGTGAAGCGGTCAGGATAGGAGCTGTATCCAACAGCGCCTCTTTTACCAGTCTACGGCTACAGATTGCTTTATTGCTTTTCTCAGAATTTGCTTGCTTTTGGAGACTGGGTATTGACTGCCATGAGGCCCAAGGGTTTTATTTCGGTCTCAAGACCTCGAGTACCCCTCTACTGTGGTGCCGGGGTACTGCTGGCCACAATACCAAGTGTGGGGCTCTCTGCTGGGCCGACTAAACCCACCTGGGGAGACTGAATTATCTTAGACTTGAGGTTTTCTTCACTGAGATAACTGAGGCTGTACGTCGGAGTGGATAACCTCAGCTGTCGCTGCACTACAGGGACGTTCTGGAGCCAGGACTTTGGGGATGGTGGAGAGGTGGCCATGGGCTTTCCCCTAGCGCGTTCTCTTCCGTGGTACAGCGTGGAAGCTTCTGCTGCCACAATGCAAGGAATAATGGCTTCCACCCTAGACAGCGTGTTGAGGTTAATGGCCCTTTCCTGTTGCCGTCTTTGTCACTCCAGCCCTGCTTTCATAGTAGAACTTTGCGTTAGTTAATACTTGAAGAAACCTTGAGATCAGAGATAATGAGCACAGGTAATTCAGAAAATAAAAATTAATAGTTAAAAGCTCCTCTACTACATGCCAGGTACTGCTTTCTCTATGTACAATTACTGACTCCGGTGCAGTTACCATCTTCATGGACAGATACAGGAATGGAGCAGAGGAGTTGTGAAACTCAGCCAAGGTCAGGCCCTGGTAAAGAACAAGACTGCGGTTCAGTCTAGACATGACCCAGAGCCTGTGCCCCTCTCCACTGGGCTCTGGGTTTTGGCTTGGGTGTATCCATGTCAGTCTGCTTACACTTCGTGTGTGTGTGTGTGTCTGTGTGTGTATGTGTTTCCGAAACAGGGTTTCACTATGCAGTTAGGCTTTCCTTGAGTTCACTATGTAGCCCAGGCTGGACTTGAAAGTGTAGCATTCCTCCTGGCTCAGCGTCCAGAGTCCTGGGTGGCTGTTTGCTTACTCTTAAGCCGGCTTCTTGGGCCTGTCTCTTTCTCTGCATGTACAGTCTTTGAATTTTAGTTAAAACTGACATGCTGGCCCTGGGGTATTATCTCCCTAGATTCTTGACCTTTGCTCTCTAGCCTGTCTCTAGAAAGGGATCGATTTCCTTTGGCCATTAAACAGTCTTTTTTCTGGTCTCTTCTTAGTAAAGGATCTTCTCTCTCCACTATGTCTGTCGTCCCAGGCCACTGCTCCTGTTTGAACTTTATGTCTGTCGTCCCAGGCCTACAGGTGAAGTGTGTGCTTAATGTACTCAAGGCCCTGGCTCTGGTCTACAGTGCCAAAAACCCAAACCCCAGTTTGACTTTCCAAAAGTAGCCTTCATGTTAGGGTTGTACGTTGTGAACAGGCTCAAGGGAACGCCGGTGAGAGTAGTATAGATGGACTGGGCCTGTGACTGGATGAAGTGCTTTATTCAAGGAGGGAAGATTAGGAACAGGTTCTCAGACTCTGCTTTGCCATTTCCAAGAACAGCAGAACTTTAGATGGTGATAGTTTTTTATTTAAAGTACACAAAAGAGAGCTGGGGATATAGCTCAGCAGTATAAATGCCTGCTTGGCAAGCGCAAGGTCCTGAGTTCAATCCCCAGTACCAGGAAAAAAAAAAAAAAAAAAAAACCCTCAAAACTACACGAAAGAGTTCAAGAGCTGCAGTTTGGATTAGTAGTATTATACTTTGTAATGGTGTTTTTTAAAAAGACCTGACCTTCCAGTTGCTTACTCCAGAAGAACGGAATTTACCAGAGAGCTCAGCGCAGATGCTGAACTGCCACATGGGTTGGGGTAATTTTCCTTCCCTCCATCACTTCCACTTTTGGAGGCACCTATAAAGCCCTGCTGGCCTGCTTATGCAGTCTGACTTGCCTCTGACGTGCTCCTTTGTATTGGGCAGGAGTGCAGCTCCCCAAAAGCACAGAGGGGAGTATGCAGCTGTTAGCTTAAGGAGTCGTGCTGGCGTGCTGAGTGGTGGGTTAGGCAGCAGAGGTGCTTTTTTTGCATCCTTTCTGAAATACAGTGAAGTTGTGGAAATTTGAGTGGCTAGCACACGGAAGTGAAAAGCAGACTCCTCATGATATGAAGGAAAGGACTTTTAGGACCCAGGTTAGCTGTCACTCCTTAGTAATTTGGATTGGCCTTTTTGATCACTTTAGATTTGCAGGAAAGGTGTATGTTTTGTCAGTTGGGACAGGAAGGAGATTTCAGTGAGGGCTTCTTGGAAGCTGTGGGTGAGGTCTGATCTTTTGGTTTTCCCAGGAAGGAACGAGATACTGGCCAGCCTATGTCCGCAGGTGTTCGGGATGTATCTGGTGAAGCTCGCTGTTGCCATGGTCCTGGCTGGTGGGATTCAGAGGACTGATGCGACAGGAACGAGGGTCAGAGGTCAGTACTTGCTTGAACTTTCTGAGAAGTGCGAACATTACAGGAAAGAAGCTGGACTTTTATTTCCTGAGCAAAACTGCATGTGGAGCTTTACTCTCTAAAAGTAGCCTCCTAAAGTTTACAGTAGTCCACGTGTTTCATACTGTGGTATTTATCAGAAGCCACTTTCTCAAATTCCAGACGGAAGAATCCCTTTTCCCAGTGGGTATGCACCTGTGCTGTGGTGTGTAAGGGGCCTGAAGGGGAATGCTCACCCTCCGTCCTCTTCATCCCAGGAAGGGGGGTTAGAGGCAGTGTGCCCTCACATCCCGGGCATCTCCACTGTGCCGGTGGGGTTTCTCAGGCTGCTGCTCTGGGCCACGGGTTTGCTGAGCACCCTCTGCTGGCAGACAGCAGATGTATCACCTGCCAGGATGTGCTGGTCACACATTTCAGCACAGATGGCTGTGCTCCTGTCTGGAGGGCAGGAAGCTCTTTGGCAGCTCACGTGACAGGTAGACCTGAGTGTCTCTAGTATGAGCCATAATAACCCAAGAGTGAACCCACAGAGTAAAATAAACTACTACAAATGGGGCTGTGACCTCACTGGGACTCCAAGCCCACACAGCCCAGCAGGGAATACTGCGGGGGAAGGTTATGTGCATTCTGTTTCTGCATCACCTGTGATTTGCAAGGCTCTCCGCGGACATGGAACTCAAACAGGGGCTTCCTGCTGACGTTCCCGAGTAGCACTGCCTGGCCAGGGAGTGATGTGTGCTGCATGGTAGTCGTGTTTGCTTAGGGTACATCTGAAACTACAAGTGCCTAATTGCCTTAAGATAGCTGTTCTACTATAAAACTACTAAAGTTTTCTTAAAAAATGGTTTTCACTTACCGGTTAGCAGCTTAAGTGGTTCAGTATTTATAGAGCACTTTCCGAGCCCCAACACCAAGAGTACCTACATAAAAAGAGAGTAAAATACTCATACAACTCTTATGGAAAGCCTTATTCACAGGAATTTGGTATTTAAAAAGATAAAATCAGAAGCTCAATAGCATTTTTTGAATGTTCCAGCCAGCTGTGGTACATGCATGCTTGTCCCACCAGAAGCTTGCACCACTGGTGCTACAAACAGACCTAATCACTTTAAGCAGTCTTTTTTTTTTTTAATGGCGGAACCGGGGATTGAACTCAGGCCCTTGTGCTTGCCAGGGAAGCGCTTATTCTACTGAGCCATCGTCCCGGCCCCTAAGCAGTCTTTTTACTAATAAAAATTAATAAAAGTCTATAAATGGGCTGACTCTAGTTGCTTGAGTTTGAATAATTACTGTCTAAATATAAAGTAATACTACTCTTACCAAGTAAAAACTTACTACAATCGAAGATTTATTTATTTCATTAAAAGAAATTTGTTAGTGAACTTCTTTAAAATATACATAAAGACAACAGGTTTGTTCAGGGTGTGTGAAATGTAACACAGATGGCTTTATTTTTGGCCACAAGTAATTTTGGCCATTGTTTCAAGTAATTTTCTTTTCTTAAAAAAATTTATTTATTTATTTGATACAAAGTCATACTATGCAGCTCGGATAGTGATCCCCCGTCTCAGCCTCGCCAGTGCTGGGATTATAGGCATGTACCACCACAACCAGTCTCAATGGCCTTCTCAGTGCGCCCCAGGGGCAGAGCCCGCACGGCAGGCTGTGGATTGAACCCTGGTCCCTGCATCTGCCTACAAGGCGCTTGAGCTGTCTAGCCAGCTCCATGCCATCTTTTGTATTCTTGTAATACAAGACCCCTAAGAAGTAGTTCAGACTCCCCAGTGGGACTGTCATGCATATACCCCTGGCAGTCCAGGCCACCTGGACAGTCGGTTCAAATCACAGCTGCCTGGCAGCAAGATAGAGGAATTACAGCCCCAGCAAACCCATGTGAAATGTTAAACATGGGCCTAATCATCTGGGAAGAATATGCCATCTAGGAATAGAATTTAAATTTGAAATAATCACATTCAGCAATTAGATTGTTGTACGTATGACAATTAACTTTTCTAAACACTTCCTAGTTAAATCCTTCTTTGAATAATCTTATATAAAAGTATACATAAAAAAAAAAAGTAAGGCTGGGCCCTGTGGCTCATATTTGGAATCCCAGGACTCTTACAGCTGAGGTAGGATACGGAATTTGAGGCCAACCTGGACTACATAGTGAGACTTTCCCCCAAATTATATAAAATATGAAAAAGCTGATCAAAATAATGAGTATTCTAAATAATTTTATTATAGTAAAGACATATTGCTACCAATTCTCCTCAAACTATTCCCCCGTCTTTTAGTGATTATTTATTTCGAGACAAAAGTCTTACAGTACAGCTCAGTCTGGCCTTGAACTCAGCGATCCTCCTGCCTCAGCCTACCTCCCAAGTGCTGGAACTACAGGTGTGTACCACCATGCCCAGCCTCCCCCTTGCTTTGAATGTATTTTTTCCATCATTCTTGCTACTTTGTTGAGCAGTTCTGAAAGTCCTCTTTGACGAATCTGAGGGGTGATCAAAAATACGGTAAATAGTTTTGGCACTGCTAAGTGCCACCCAACAGAAGTCGAGCTTATTAAAACCCTGATGCTGGGTCCTCATCATCTTACTGATTGGCTCTGTATCTTCTGGCATTTCCCCAAGGTCCAAATGACCATTGTTTTGGTTTCTTTTCTCTCTTTGCTGAGACAAGATACCCAGTGCCCAGAATTAAGGAAAGAAAGGTATATTTAGCTCACAGTTTGTAGAAGTTTCAGCCCATCTTCAGCTGGCTCCATGGCAGGGTGCACAGCTGAGGGCAACTGTTCATGCCTACAAAAGACAGAACAACAAGGGCAAGAAGTGGAGAGAGCAAGCCTCTTCTCCTCCTGCATTGTAAGCAGGCCCCCTGCCCCAGTGGGCGTGGCACTCACACCATCTTCTCCTCTTGCACAGGCCTAGGATGTTTACAAAGCGAGGGCCTGGCCCCTGCTGAGACACTTAGTTAAACCTCTAAACTTCTCAAGTTAACAGTGAATCAACCATTACAACCCTGAAAGGTAAAACATTTTCATTGATTTAGGACTCTGAGGCAGCTACAATATGGTGCATAAAGACACAAAAGAGGACTTCCAGAGCTGCTTCAGAAGGTGACAAGGGGGCCGGGGAGATGGCTCAGTGGAATAAGCGCTTCCCCAGCAAGCACAAGGGCTGAGTTCAATCCCTGGTTCTGAAAAAAAAAAAGGTGACAAGAACAGGGCTGGTGAGGTAGCTCAGTGATCTAAAGCACCTGCTTACGCAAGCTTAGGCAAGCGCAGGGACCAAGGTTGGACAGTGCCACATACCCCACCAGCCCCGCCCCCGGGGCAGGATGAGCTGCCCACAAACAAAGAAAGTGGCAGTGACAGTGGAATAAGTATGTTTGAAGTAAAGGGGAAGTATTTTCAGAGTGATTAATGGTCATATGTCCATTAATTTACTGTAATCTTTTTTTTTTTTTTTGACATCAGTTATTTTATTTTAAAGAAAAAAAAATAAAAACAATGGTACAAAATCTCAAAACAAGATTTTAGGAGAGTAACAATGGTTAGTACATTGTATATTGTTACTGCCAAAGTAGTTTCTCATATTACAAGATATAGGCAAGAAATAATAAATAAACAACATAGGTACAA